CGGGCTGCGAACCTTAAGATCAGCAGTTCGAAACTACCAGCCGCTCCGCGGGAGAAAGATGAGGCTTTCTAATCCCGTAAAGATTTACACCCTCGGAAACCCTGTACAGGGTCGCTATGGGTCGGAACCGACTCGACGGCACTTAACAACAACAGCAACAGCAATATGCAAATGCAGGCTGAAGCAGAAAAAATTAAAACAAGTCAATGAAAGTGAAAAGTTGACCTTGAACATATCCCACCTGAAATTAGAGATTATCTCAAGAACAATTTTAATTCATTAGACTATAGTGACTGAAAACCAGAAGAGATGTGGGAAGGCATCAACATCATCATTCAGGAAAAAAGAAAAAGATAATTAAGAAGACAAGTAGAAGGAAAAGATGAAATTGTTGTCAGGAAAGAAAAAAACTTGCTCTTCAGCACAGAGTTGCTAAAGCAAATGAAACAAATGCAGAAATGAAAGCACTGAACAGAAAATGTCAAATGGCAGCTTGAGAAGACAAAGTCAAGGGTTATATTGAAATGTGCAAAGACCTGGAGTTAGAAAACCAAAAGGGAAGAACATGCTCAGCATTTCTCAAGCTGAGGGAACTGAAGAAAAAATTCAAGCCTTGACTTGTGGTATTGAAGGATTCGATGGGGAAAATATTGAATGATACAGAAAGCATCAAAAGAAGGTAGAAGGAATACACAGAGTGACTGTACCAAAAAGAAATGGACGCTGTTCAATGATTTCAAGACATCGCATGTAATCAAATGCCAATATCACTGAAGGAAGAAGCCCAAGGTACACTGACGGCATTGATAAAGAACAAGGCTTCAGGAATTGATGGAATGTAAATTGAAGTCTTACAACAAAATGATGCAGCACTGGAGGCACTTACTCATCTATGCAAAAAAATTTGAAAAATAGCTATCTGGCCAACTGATTGGCAGAGATCGGTATTTATGCCCATTCGTAAGAGAGGTGATGCAAGAAAATGAGGAAATCATCACACAGTATCATTAATATCACATAGATGCCAAATTTCGCTAAAGTAGCTGCAACTGGACACTGACAGGGAGCTGCCAGAGTTTTAAGTCAGATTGAGATATGAACATGGAATGAGGGATATCATTCATTGCTTATCTCTGATGGATCTTGGCTGCTGTTGTTATTGTTAGGTGCCATGGAGTCAGTACTGACTCATAGCAACCCTAGGCACAACTGAATGAAACACTGCCCAGTCCTGTTCCAACCTCACAATCATTGCTATGTTTGAGCCCATTGATGCTACCACTGTGCCACTCAATCTCATTGGCATCATTCTCATTCTCACTAATTCTCCACTTTACCAAGCATAATGTCCTTCTCCAGGGACTGGTCCTTCCTGATAACATGTTTGAAGTCTGAGAGCCAAAATCTGGCCATCCTAGCTTCTGAGGAGCATTCTGGTTGTACTTCTTCCAACACAGATTTGTTTGTTCTTTTGGCAGTCCATGGTACTTTTTTTTTTT